ATCTGTACATCTGTATTGTAAATTGAATCAGGATCTTGCTTGACTTGAAAAAAGTACAGAACACAAGGATGTTATTCTGGTTTTTATTCACTCTTGGTTGAAACACGGTGTTTTGTAACAGTCTTCATTACTGTTCTATAAAATTAGCCTAATACTTGTATCAGTTCAGATGGTTAAGTATTATGCATTTTGAAAGTTTTGGGCAAAATTATCTGTAGGAGAGTATCACTTTGATCAATTGCACTTTGAGAACACTTCATGTTAGCAGTTCTTTAAACCCGACTGTGAATTTAAGAAAAGAAGCCCTTGATCAACAAGATTAAGTAGATCACGACAATTGAAGCATCTTTATCCTGAGTGCTTGTTGCCCTGCGGGAGACCTGCTTTATGTATCTTGTTCAGCTTCAGGCAAAGAATTTTCTAAAACAGGTGCCTCTTTTACCAGTTGGGGGGGAGCTATGAATGCAAACTAAATTGGTTTTAATTTTTGGTTGTGAGATCTAAATAGAAAATGGAAACTGTCAATCCATCTCTGAACATAGATTCACAGGTGTATTTGAAAAAGGGGTTGAATATAATTAAAGGCCAGTGCAAATTAAAGAGAATTAAATTATCAACATAACTTATATAACTACCAAAATCTAAACTTTAATATTTAGAAAAGAGATGGAAGTTTGGGGAATCAGATTTGATTCTGTGAAGTTTAGGCTATCAATGTGCTATCTGGGGAGCAACGTTCTGATTCAATCTCTTCTGTGAAAATACATTGTGTCATGGAAAAGACCCACTATATGCTGGGAGAAATGCTGTCATATTTCCTGGCTTATAAAATGTATCAATCCCAATGATGATAAGTGTGGTTTCTGAGATAGGATTTTCCAAACTGCCACATAAAAATAAAATATAAAAATAAAAAATACCAACTTGCATAGCTTCTAGGTCTTTTTCTTTGAGATGTTAGAAGTGTTACTCAAGGAAAAGAATGTTTTAAAGTATTCATTTCTATTGCTTAATATGTAACTTACTTCTATCTAAATGGATAAGCAAACAAGTGGCATATATCTTAAGTCATTGCTCCCAAAGGAAATTAACAAAAGAAAATTCGGAATTTACATCAATTGCCAATAAAATTTAATGAAAAAAAAATCACTGAAGCTGTCAATGAATTGGTATTTTATATCTGCTCATTGCTAACAAGCTTTAATAAACAGCATTGTATAAAACCTCCATCCCAAAAATGTTCAGGGTTTCAAATATGCATTCAGATTTCATAATTGACTGTGGCTTTGAATCTAGAAACACAGAGCTGATTCAGATACTTCACTTTTACACCAGATAGTTAACCTACAAACATTTTAAAATTCTCTTTTATTTAAGAAAATTATGATGAACTTCAGAAAATACTTGCTTGGAAAAACTGTAGTAAGTAAAATATGTTTGAAGTAAATACTTCATTATATGCTTACATTGAGCAATTATTTAAGCTAGAGGGTCTCCTGGAAAAATGTGTGTCTTTAACACAAACAAAATCATCAATTTTATATAACATTAAATAATATATAAATAAGTGTGGGGTTTTTTTCAAAGTTGCTGATTAAGAGAATTGTACAATGAATAGCATGTAGACTAGATGACCAAAAGCAAAATATATACCACTGAGGGAGGGAAATCCTCTAAAAACCCTTTACAGAGTGGAAAGATGTCTTTAACCGAGAAGCAAACCAGTCATTCACTTTGTTGTTATTGTGAAGGTCCATGTCTTACTGCAAACTTCTAGATCAAGAGGCAACAGCCCAGCATGCTTTCAAATTGGAATACTTTGGATATTAGGCATGTTTCCTTGTTTAGGGCTATGTAGCTGTACTGTACTAAGAGTTTTAAATGGTCTGCTTTATTCCTATGTAAGTATACTAATACTTTCTTCCATTTCTATTAACCTCCGGATATCACTGATAATTTTAAAAATGTTGAAATGTACTTATTTCATATACCGCATTAAAATTTTCATGCTTTGATTTATGTGGGAGAATGGTCTGCAGTGACGGTAGTACACAGAAAATAATTACCAGATTTTTAAAAGATAAACATATGTTTGAAATTGATGTATCCTTGGGGCAGGGACTGTCTCTAATTAAATGTTTATACAATGCCTAATATAATCAAGCCAGGAGCTGGTTGACTGCTATGCATGCCACAGTCCAAATATTTAACATTAATAATAACAGTTCTGCAGTCAATATGATCTTACTTTTGATATTTACAAGTGTTTTCCTAACACACACTGCAGATTTATGCAATTTGAAGGGCTTCAGGCTCAAATTCTTCAGTCTGTTCGATTCTACCATATCCATCACTTTAGCACACTAAATCTTGATCCAAATTCTGTCTTTTGTGTCAAATAGAGGATGAGATGCCCCTGTTTTGAGGGAGGTGGGACAAGTATCCAGCTGATTTTCTAGCATGTAGATGAAACAAATTTCAGTACTAGTGTTTAAAGTTCCAGCAAGCACCCCCACAGCACAACTCAGATGTAAGGAAACTTGCATGACAGGTTCTGTGATGAACTGTTCTTTGAAAACATTCTTCTGGATTCAGTGTGTGTTCAGTTTGCTGCGCTCGTTGGAATGCCTTCTCCATCAGGAGGAGTAATTCACACTCTTGACTTCATGAAGGAGTCAATCTTTATCAGGACAGTCTTGGCTTCCACTCAACCACATTTGCCTTTGCACAAGACAAAACTCTGAAAACAGGAAACTGTGAAAACCTTTGGGAGCCAACATCTTCAGAAAAAACGTCTTCCTATTGGCGGTTGGACAGCCATTTCCCCTTACATGACACTCTCTACATGCCTGAAAATGAGGTCTCTCATCCTCTAGGACAGCTTCAGGAAGAACTATTCCTGGAAGTGGGTACAATTTGTTGGTTAAGAATTAAGAAGCTGTGATTTCTGTCATTGATTAATTTGTATGTCCCTGAAGTTAATTAGTATTTGTATGAATACTTAATTTTATTAATTTTATTCATATTTGTGTGAATTTATTCATACAAATGAATACAAATATTCATTCATGTTTATAAGAATAACTAATAACTATTGTACTGAAAATTACAAGTGTTAATGATAATTTTCCTATTTGGTTAGCTACTATTTCTGTGTATGACAATTTAGTCATGAATAAACCTGTACGGTGGAACCCCAGAGCTTCCTCTTCCAGTCACTCCTTTAAGAAAATGAATAATGCCTGTTCCTCTGTAAGAGAATAGTTTCCTGCCTAGATTTTGGACTTAGTCTTTAAAATTGTATCTGAGGGTGTCTGTTTGCTACAGCAGCCTTAGAACGTCTGCCCATGAAAGCATAATTTGGAATAGCCAACCTCTTTGTTGGAACTTAGTGTGAGCATTCTGCATTGGTGGACTTCCTGTCCACACATTAGTATGCTCAGAGACAATATGCAAGTAGGTGTAGCCTGATGACCACAGTAGGGATTGGCAAATAAGGAGTGTGGAATTCAGACTGTGTTTTCATTGAACAACACTTCTTTAACTTGGAATCATTCTATGATGCACTACCGTACCTTGGGCTCTCTAGTTGTTGTTTAACAGTATTTTGAGTATGCTGCTCATAAGCACACAACGAGCACGAAGGGAGGTTACTTAGTAGTTGATTTTCAAGAGTTGTCTCTGTGCATTCACACAACCAATCTGCCTTGCCCTTGCTTTGGAGCTTTAGCTCTGATTTTTAGCACTTGGCAGGCATACGATAGGAAGCAGAAGCGGGTGGAGCACAGTGCATTTGCTTAAAAAGATGGAAAAACTGACATTGCTCAGTGTGTGAGAATACTACTTCATTCCCAATGAAACAGCATTCCTGTGCACTGACAAAACTTTGTGCTCGAAATACTGAATCCTTTTACTTCAGTGTGAAGGGACAGTTCTTGAAGAAGTTGTTAGTAACTCTTGAAATTTTGGTGTGTTCTTCACTATAATTATTTCCAAGTGCTTATACTTATGTTGTGTTACGTTGAATCACATATTTATATACCTCTGTGGTTCTAAAACATATAACATTGAATATGAACTTATGTTTCACAGTTTTTGCTTTCCCAGTGCGATGATGTAAATGTCTATGTAAGTGGACAGAACACTGGAGAATTAGACCAATATATAATAGTGTACCAAATTTGACAACGGTTTCCAGCTGGATAATTTAGGAAGATGTTTTATAACTAGAGGGATTTTGCAAGAAAAAACCCCCATATATTTTAAGTGTGACTCATTTTTAGTTACAAAAGAGAATGCAAAGTACTTGCTTTTTGTAAAACTAAAAGAGAAGATAAACAAAAGGTATTTATGAAATGCCTTAGTGTCATAAGATTAGAAGCATGACACTGAAAGCTAAGAGAAAAATCTGAATAGGCAAGATAAAATTTTTTTTTTTTTCCCTAGTATGTGTGTCTTTTAAAAAAAGCCTACAAGGTTTTTTTGTGTTTTTTTTTTTCCCCTATAAACATTTGCTTCATTGTACTGATTCTCAGAATAGTAGGAATTGTTAGTTGAATGAATAAAATGATCATGAATAAATAAGTACAAACATACAGACACTAATTGTTGCATTAGAATGTATCTGTTGTCAACCTTTGCAGGTTGTCTTGCAGTTCCATTGGCCCCAAATGGTACTTACTGAACATTTATTTTTTATTTGTGTGGACCACGCCAGTATTACACAGGCAGCATGAGGGAATAATGAGCTGCATTCTTTGGGTTACTGAGAAGTCAGCACAAATTGTGGGAACAAATAACAATCAGACAAGGCAGTGTTTTATAACATCAGGACTGCAATCTATCTTTGGGATCTTTCAAAGCTGGGCTAATAAAGGCCCACTTACAATCCCCAGCAGAGTACAGTTTAATTAAATTTGTCCATTAGAGAACTCCTTCCCCTCCCTCTACATTTTAGAAATTAATTCTGCTTTCTGCCTGTTGTTCTTTCTACATCACAGATGCACTGAGCCTTCGTAACCGGCAGGTCATCTGCGTCACGCTGAAAGTCCTCCAGCACCTGGTGGTGTCAGCTGACATGGTGGGGGAGGCCTTGGTGCCCTATTATCGGCAAATCCTCCCAGTCCTAAACATCTTTAAGAATATGAATGGTGAGTTATCCTAACAGACACTATGTCTTTCGACTCCTAAGGTAAAAAGGGGCTCAAGGCAGGGTTAATTAACAATGTAGTTAAGATTTATTACTGTATATAAACTCAAATCCATTTGGAGCTCTAAATAATGTAACCCCCCCCCCTTACTATTCCCTAAGGAAGCACTGAAATTAACAATTTCATTTATTACTCCTTCCACGTACAGTTTATTTAATGCAGTACAGAAGCACTGAAGCAGTTCTATAATCTTCCAATAATTAAATTGTAAAGTTTTGTAACACTCTTTTGAATACATTAATAAATTGCAAACGTTTTTTCCTCCCTCTAACACAATAGTTCAGTCCAGCCTTTTTATTCCGTTCTGTGCTCTTCACAAGCAATTCACTACTACCAGCAGGCTTAGGAAAGAATAAAAATAAAAAGAATAAAAAGTAGGAATCAAACTAATTAATTTGAGGGTCAAGAGAACTCCTTGTTGTAGAAAAATTTTGAGTTACATAACGTCTAGCAAAACAGTGAAGTTTGAAGTTATTACTGCTCACTTAGCAGGTTTTATTATAGAAAAATTTAGAATTAATTTGTATCTACAGCTTCATATTTCATTTTCTTTTTAGTACAAACCTCTATTGCCAGTTTCAATCTTTAATAATTGGTACTGTGAGTACCATATACTGTGAACACATTTACACCAGTCACCAGCTGAAATCAACCTGATGTATCTTGCTTTTGCCAAACTATATCTTTAATTTTTTTTTTCTGTAGTACATCTATCTGTACTTATCTGTTCAATTATCTACTGAGTTACTGACTTTAAAGTTTGTGTTATTGACATGCAACCATATAGATCAAAAGAAGTTAGTTCCTCTCAATCTTGCAAAAGAAGTTTTTCACTACATTTGTGGCATTTTGGTAGCTACAGGACTACTTCCTATGATACTTTTGTTGGCATTACTACAGTATGTATTACCTTATACTCGCTCTTTAGTGAATATGATTTACCTCAGATCAAAAAGTGCCTGTCCAAAGACTGACTTAGAGACTCAAATGAGACTTAGATTTTAAATCCCTTTAAATATATGTATGTCTGTGAATCCGTTTTACTCTAGTGAGAAGCTTGCGGTAACATATGGAATTCCACAAATGCAACGGGGTTCAGATGAAAACTGTGGCTTTCTAGAAGTTGTGAGATGAAATGTTATGAATAAAATCCATAGGTTGAACTTAAGTAATTTCAGTAGGGCTTCTTATGAATTAGAAGATTCCCCCTTAACAGATCCAATTTCAGTATCTGGCATAAAACAAGACTGTAAAAAGAAAGACTCTCATTGATTAATGAACATACAATACATGCTTTTTTTCCAAATTTCAGCCTGAAGTAGCCCATAAATTCTCTTGACTAGGCTTTTCTGCAATGATTTCAGATGAATAATAGGGAAAGCTCATGTGTAACCAGGTACCTAACTTATCAAGGCATTAAACACATTCTAAATATATCCTAAGTTTTGATTGTATTGTGAGCAAAGTAAAACGTATTTTCAACATATTTGCATCACATCTGTGCTGTGTGAGTTTGTGTCTATATCAAACTACACTAAATCTTGATGTTTGGCGTTTGAGAACTAAAGAACAAAAATAAAGGAAAAGTAATAGTTCAAAATGAATATATTTTATTAAAGCATTTCTTTTTTAGGAATTAAAGGTTTTGAGAGTTCAATACTACCACCAATGAAGCGGATGCTATTTGCAAGGCCTACCATATGAAGCTGTTCAACTTATTCAGTACTTGCATGCATGTGATAGGGAAAAATTCTTCCTCTGTCTCCTCCTGCCTCAAAAAGCTTCTATTTCTTTCATCCTTCACTGATGGTTGACAGAAAATGTATGCTCCTTTTGTTCTCCTTTCTATCTCCTGTATGCTTAATAGGCAACTCAGGTGCAGGTCTTTGCTCCCAGTTATAAGGAAGGTGTAGAGATTGATCCAGACTATTTTCTCCAGTGCTTGTTCATACAGGTGAAAGATGGGGGGAGGAAGTATACACTATTATTCCTTCTTTTATGTATAGCTTGAGAAAGGAGGAACATCTTTCAGGAGTTGCGTGAATTGCAGTCTATTAAGTCTGACACTGTGGAAGTTTTTCCAGAATTAAGGTGGCTGGAAGGAGCCATGTTTTAATCATTGCCACCTCGCTAGATCAGTATCTATCTGCTGAAAGGAGCTCTTTTCCAGATTCAGCATCTGTGAATACCTCTTTCACACTAAATATACTTATAGTCAAGAGAACATTAGGAAAAAAAAAAAATTAATAAGACATTAAGGTCAACTTACCTTTAGGTCAAGTTAACTGGTGACCAGTTCAGAACAAACCAACCAAAGTGATTCTTCATGCAGTGTGTGTGATGTGAAGCTCTGGAACCCCTAACCTCAAATTCTTTGGATAGCAAGAGTTCACATGGCTTCAAAGGAGGGTCAAAAATATCGTTAAAAAGAATCTGTTTCTTGTTTAGTAAAACACATGGATCGCCTCTGGCTCATGGCATTCCTAAGCCACAACACGTTGGAAGCTGAGAAAATATTAGGTGAAGTACCATAAATATTTCTTTTACAGTCACTTTCCCTAGTCATCTCCTTTTGAGAGACACACTTCTGGATGAGATTGGCATTTGCTATTATCTAAAATATCCATCCTTATGTTCTTCCTACATTGATCCCTAGCAGACTTGCAGAAAATACTCACTTCACATTCAGTTTAAAAATGTTCTGGAATGTAAGTTCTTCAGAAATTTTATTCATACTACATGCCTCTGATTTGTCTGAATCATGATTCACAGTTTTAGATAGGCTTATAAATAAAACAGTAAAAAACTTGCATTGGTAAGATCTTAAGGTTACGATGTTAGAAACAGGTATTTAATAAAACAAATATAGAATGTAATCTTAGCTTCAGCTTGTCATATGCTTATCTCTTGAGTTGTTCTTCAGCCAACAAAACTGGTAAATCATTGTTCAGAGTTCCCAGTGTTACCTGAGCTTAGAATAACAATAGTTTGAGAAGCTCTCAGTTCTATCCCACTTAAGTCTAAGCAATTCTTTCCAAATTCCCATTTCCCAACACGGAGGCTATAATTTCCCAGTAAGCAACAGTGTTGTTTAGATGCCATTGCCTTCAAGGGGGATTTTGTGATAAAAAATGAGTTAGCTTTGACGACTCTCCCTGTAGGCAGCCATTTAGTGCAGCTGAATGTGATTCCCACTGCAGATTTTTAGTGGATTAACCAGGGAGGCTCTGAACTATGTAAATCCTCTTTTCTGGGATCTGATGTCTTTTGTGCTTAAAGATGATATCTCCTTGCTCCTGTTCAACCTGCTGACAAACTGCTTCTTTTATGCAGAGTTACTAACACATTCTTTTTAATTATATACAGAATATTGATTATTCACATAATCATAGTTTCTCATATGTTCCTTTGCTTTTCCAATGTACTTTTGACATTTCCGCTTTTTTCTACTTCCATCTGTTATCTCCAAATTACCCTGTCATTATTTTGTAAACGTAGCCCTTTTTGTAAATTAGCGGGTTCTGATACTGATGTCTGTTCCTATCTTACGATGTCTCCCAAACATGCTTGTCTCTAAAAATAAATGTCTTCATAATGATTACGTTGTGTTGATACCTATGTAGTACGAGCAAAAATGGTAAAGGACTATTGATCATTTGCAACAGAAGAAAATCTAGATATTTGATTTTAAAATATTAGCACCCATAATAGAAATCTTTATTAAAAGATTTTTTAATAATTTTACTTATTTTAAGTCATTACTTCACAAAGTGTCTATTCACTTCTTCTACATAATGCCTTTTAGTGGAGTACACTTTTCTTGTAGTTTCATGTATCAAAGAAATAATTTTGATTTTGTTTTCTGTAATTTTATGGCAGTCTGTGAGAACACATAGTATAAATGGAATTGCTGTTAACCAAGAATTAAGGTATGCCAAATATATTTTATCATTAGAGTTTGTGGGCCACAAAATAGAAATAGTTCAGGTAGGATTGCCAGGCATATGTTCTGTAATTTGGATCTCTGGAATTCCAGAAATGGAGAAGAAAGTCTGTTGGTTGGATATGGGCAAATTCTGCCATTTTCTATCCATTTGTATTTCTTATGTACGGATGACTTTAATATTGGCAATTTTTGTAGAGTAAAAAAAAAGGAGAGTATTGATGAAAAATAAATGAAAAGTTTTTATTATTGAAAACATCTAAAACACGCTCATCCATCAGAGTCATAAGATACAGGTAAAAATATATCAATATGAACTAAGTTAAAAACACCAAGGGAAAGATCCAAGCATCCTAAGACTGTCTGAAAGCCAGAGGAGAGAGCTCAATGAACTCCTGAAGAGTCTCAGTAGTGAGCAACGTTTTTTTGGTGCACAAAGCATATTTGGTGTGTCTGAATTTGTGCCCTCTCTGGAGCTTAAGGCCCTGACTTGCAGTAGACGTTTCTTTCCACTTGTGTTCCTGAGTGCTCTGTAGGAGACCAAAAAAAAAAAAAAAAAGAGCAAAGTTCTGTTGTTGGTGATGCTACCACTAGAGTCTTTTTATTGATGGAGACAGTGAGAGAATCCTCACCAACTGGCCATGGTGTGCTCTGAAAAAGGGCTGAAGCTTTCTGTTGAAACTGTTAGCCAGAATTGTAAAGCTGGCAGGACAGCAAGAGAAGGGAACATGAATTCATGCCAGTGACTGAGGAATACTCCTGAAGTGTAGGAGCTGTTTGTCTAATCACTGCAGAGAGGGGATTAGCTGTCTCTAAGCAAGCTCCCCAACATATGGACTATTATGCAAATGTGCTTCTATATAATATAAGAAACAAAAAAAAGTCATAGTAATGCTTACGAAGTCTATTATGAACCCTGTAATGCCACTGTAGTTTTCATTTAAATCTGTAAGTTAAATATACTCTTCTGAAACTCATTTCAATCTCATGAAGAGGG